ACAAAGCCGGGTCTTCTGCCTTTTCCGCGGCCTTTTCCTTTGCCGCCTTTGGATGGTTTTCTGAATCTTCTACCATGGATTCTTCTACGGGTGTATCCTCCTTTGGCTGCTAACACCCAAAATTCGGACTCTGAGAACAAACTCACAAATCCTTCCTCGCCTGTTTCTTGATCCATCACCCAGTATCCGGATTCTTCTTCCAAGTCTCCTTCATCGAGGACAAGGAAAGTGGATCTTCTTTGCCTGCGGATCGAAGGATCGGCAGTTCCTGTGGCGGTTCCGCAAAAGAGATCAAGGAATAAGCCTTTGACACCTAAGTATGTGTAGTTGTTCATGTTGATCTGACGCAAGGCCATGCTGGCTACAAACCTTTCTCTCTGCTGTTCGTTAAGATCCGACTGAACTAAGAAAATAAGTGACATCAAGTTGTCAGACAATGGAAAGGTGTCACGATGTGCTTGTTTCAAAGCATCAATGTGTTCAGTACGGATTCTTTCTGCAGTTTCTCTTCTTTCTGTTGGATCGGTGATTTGTTGAAGTAGCATGTACTGCTGTTGCGAGAGGATATCAGTAAAGTTGAATTCATCAGGCTGTGGAACAGTCGAAAGATCTAACAAGCCCATGAAGGCTTCCATGACTTTCTTGCTAGCGACATCAAAACGAGCGATCCAGCTGACAAATTCCCCGTTTCCGCGCCAGGTCCTGAAGAGCTGCATGAAACAACAAAGAAAAACATGATTTGCTCCTTTGACAAAGTATTGGCGCAACGTCTCCTTGAAATACGTAATACCGTTTCTTTCATGACGAAGCTGTTCATTGTCGAGCATTTTCTTGTAATATTCGGCGTTTCCGGTTAGAGCGTTCTTCAATGATGGGCCTAATTTTTCGGCGCTTAATGTGGTGATATTCACCCAGTCATCAATCAAATCTTCAAACTCGAACCAGGATGACTGTCCATCGAATGACGGAGGAATCTTTGGCGTCATCTTGACACCTGCTGATGGCTGTGCCTCGTACGTCCGGTATGTCGAACTCGAGGACCTTCCATGCTGTTGGCGATGACGCGAACCTTGAGCTGCGAAAGCTTCTTCTGGATCTGTTACGTCAGATAGGTCGCTGTCATGCTCTTCGTCCGTATCTATGTTAAAGATCTGGACCATGGTCTATTTGTTTGACAAGTGACTGACTTGGTTGTCCCCTGTCCGGAATATCGGACGATTCGGCACGAAGGCAAAATCGACCAATGCGAAGCAGGAGACACAAGCTCCGCTACCACTTTGAGGGGTAAGTTCCCCCAGAAGTGGCAGTTGGATAACTGGACCTGATCGAAACACCAAGCAGTCAAACACGTGCGGTCGGTGTGCGAGCTGCGGCGAAGCACACCTTTTCTATGGCAGTGAATGCAGTATTGGGCTGCTAAGTCTTGAGCCAAATGAATTATGTCGAAAGCGGACTGAAGAGCTACAGACTAATGTATGTACAAGAACAGGTGCTACACGTATAGCGTAGACACGCCCAGGGGGACCTAGGACCCTACTAAACACAGGGGGGAGGGGGGGGGGCGGCAGGCTGTCGAAAAAAACCCCGGGGGGGGAGAAACCTTAAGCTGAAGCCAAGACAAGCTATACTAACCAAGACAATCCACAAAACACGCCGGCAGGCCGGCGGATTAAGAAGTGACGCCACCCCCTGTAGCCTGGAGCGTACAAGATACCAGTACAAACTACAGTCTAAATGTGCACTCACTCGAGCGGCAGCTCCACATTCCGTTAAAATGAACCAGACATGAGACCTGACGGCACTTGACGGCACCTGATGACACCTGATGACACCTGATCACACCTGACGACACCTGATCACACCTGACGACACCTGATCATGCCTGATGACACCTGACACAGTTCCACTCTGGATCAAAGCAGAAACAGCTTCTGCTGGCTGCAGCATTGTTTGTCTCTGACTGCCCTGCCATTTCAATTGCTGTCTGTCTATTGCACTTCTAGATCCACCATAGACATCCAGAGTACCGGTCTCAAGTTCGGGAAGAGGCCCTCTACATCGACCTCTACTTAGAATCTAAGATGGGGTAGGCACTGGGCCTGGCTCGAAAACACATGCTCCTGTGGCTTCCGAGTCTACTTTTGATCGAGTGAAAGATCCCTGTATTCTGCCAACCATGTCTAGTCTAGACAGCCCACCAAAAAGCCTTGCACCAAGCTCATGGTTTGTTTAGGTACAAAGGGCTGTCAAATCTCCACTGGTCAGGCCTTATCCATCCTGGACATGCTAGACCGATCGAGGTGACTTCTCCTTTGCCTCCAACAACGATGCAGCTTGTTGGAGCCGCTGCCTCTGGCTACTGCGCGGACCCTTCGCCCGGAGCCCGCGGGGTCACTTCCCATCGAGGTCGGCCTTCCTACCAAGAGGGCTCATCGTGCGTGATGATTTGGATTTCAAGTCTTGGAATCGTGCGATGTGTGCTGCATGCATGGGCCCACTCATGGAACTTTCCTGCCAGGCCAGAACCACCTCTTTCACAGGTCTTAAAAGTTCAGCACGTGGCCAACGCAAGACAGTTTCATCATGCCGAGGACAAGTTTTTGCAGAGCCTAGCCCTTGGACCAGATCATGCAGACTACTTGACAGGGCAACATCAATCTTTCAGGCGCAAGGCTTCACCAATCGGCCGTATCTATAGATAGTTTTGCATCAGGAGAACAAGAGCTGTTAGATCAGAACAGCGCTCCTCTAAGCTTGTGGAGCGGACTGAACCGCCTCAGCTGATCTTGAAACTCCAGGCTAGCGGCTAGACGCCCAGGCTGCTGCTATGCCTCACAATTCAGCTCAACTTGGCAACTGTTGAAGAGATAGGCTTGTGGCCAGTCGGCCAATCAAGACTCCAAATGTCGAGGATCTGGTCCTGCTTGAACGACGTTGGGTTGCAGATGTCATCCATAGTTGACCTCATTCGGGGATCAAGCATATTTTATAGAGGACACCAACGAGTTTTTGCTGTGTGTACGGAAGTAGATGCAACCACTGGGGCGTGTGGGAGCTTAAGGGCACTGTGCGTCAGATAGGTGCAGCGCCTGGGAACAACTGAGTTTGGAGCTGGAAAACACTGACCACGCAAAGCACGGATGCATGGATGATCATGGATGGTATGGTATGCCACTTGAAGGTATGCCGTACGCCACAGCTGCTTTGCTGGCGCTGGATAATCTCGATTCGTCTCGGCTCTCAACTGTTGATGCCTGAACTCAGGGAGAAGGTGTTGCGCTCAGCTTCGTGTGATTTATCACAGGGGGGTCGCAATGGACATGTCACGGGTTGGCTGAGGAGGGAGGGTGTGGGTTGGCTGGTGAGGACAGCAACCCATTGGAATGCTGTGATGATGCCCACGTGCTGATCTTGAGCTGTGGCCAACACATCTCAGTGAGCCATAGTGTTGCTTCTGCAGCTACAGAGTGACTGACTGGAGTCGAGCGCCTGATGGCGCCCTGACGATGCCCCGGTGACACCTGATGACACCCGGTGATACGTGATGATAATGGATGACACCTGACGACGCAGGATGAGTTTTGATGACACCTCATAACACGTGAATGACACCTGTTGACGCAAAATGCTGACTCACACATGATGTCGCCTGAGCCTGATCCCGCCTGATGAACATGGCGACGCCTGAATGCACCTGACAGCGCTTGACGACACTTGATGACTCATGACACCTAATGACAATGATGGCACATTCTTACACCTGATGATGTTTGTCTGACGCCTGGTGACATTTGATGACACATGATGACGCCTGATGACACACGATTCAAGTGACACATGATGACGCCTGATGATCTCTGATTGCATATGATGGCCACGATGTTATATCATGACATCCGAAGACACATCTTTAGCTGGATTTTTTGGAAGTTTGCATCCAGTCTCAGGAGCCACCTGGCCTTCTCGGGCGCCTCCAGAGGCCACGCCATGCCGGTGGCCGCTGTTAGGCGCTCTGAGGCACGAAGGCGGCCGGCGGGTTCGCCGCCCCTCGACCTGGGGTGATTGGGTGTGGTTTGGGGGTGGGATGGACGTGGGGCCGGCAGGGTTGTCGCTGAGACCAGGAAAGGATCACGGACATTTGGTTGAAGGAAAACACATTTGTTTCGATCACTTTCAATCATTTATATAATACATTTTCGATTGAACGACGAAACTATATATATATATATATGTATTGTATCAGTTAAATTGACCAAAACGTCAGTTTACCTGAGCTGGATGGCAGTGCTTCCATTTGTGCAGGTCTCCAAATAATTACTGTACTCATTTGTTGTTCTCCAATAAAATTCATCCGTCGTTGCGGAACTGTTTGTGCTGTCACTTAGCTTTTCTCCCATGGTGATCACCGAGTGACCAATGCTGGTGACTTCTTTGCCTGAACACCTTACCTTCTCATGTTTTAACCTCCTACTACAATACAACCTGTCAGGACGTCACAGTCTGACAGTCATTTACACACATAAAACAGTTCAGAACCATCAACGTTCGCACAGAGAAATGCAAGCATGTGATCAGATGATAGTTGGTAAGGGTCTTAATTTTAGTTGTTTATGTAGTGCTTGGCGGAAGATGTAGGGAATGTCATAGTGTCATACTTTATCCTTTCCTTGGCGCTGTAACTTTTGGAGATCATGAAGGGACCAGATTCACCTGCCATGGAAAAGCTCGGATGACATGATTATAAGGATCCAGCCTGCACCAGAGTGGTACGGGATGCCTGTGGCTCAGTCTAGGATCAAGCTTCTGCGAACTGGTTTGTATGCTTTTGGCAATTGAGAGTCAATACTTTCTTTTACAAAGCTATTCACTTTTAAAGACTTCACTGGCACGACAATCAATCATGCGTGCATGTTTGCACGGATGATCAACTGTTGCATTTTGGGACCAGCGGTGCAGAAGTTTGTGTTTATGTGCTAGGACCATCGGATCCTTATTGCACCCTCCATTGAGAGGTTGGAACATAATTCTTTCCAGAATGTCAAAGCAACAACACAGCATACCAAAATCTAGTGGACAAACTTGTGTTCCGTATGGCTCCGAAATGGGGTGCACAAATTGTTCCAACTTGAGCAAGTTGTTAGCGATGCACTTGTTGCTAGTAGCTGCAGCTTCTTGTTACTATAGAGACTTGTGAACTCAACTTCTCTTAGACACCTTTTGAGCAAAGAGTTCAAACCTCTGAGTGAGCCTTTTCAGGAGACGCCCGCCCTTTGCAGTGTCACCATATCCAGTTGGACAACCTGCGGCACTGCAGGCTCAGAACTTTTCTGGAAAGTAGTGTAGAGGGGGTCCGGAGAGGCTCGATGAGGTTGTATGGATGGAGAGATGGACGGAAACTTGGAACTAGGCTTGGCAAAACCCCTTGCAGCATGTTGCAGCATCCTTCCGAATTCTTGTGCACTTTGCGTCTCAGGGTGATGGAGCCTGCGTACCCTTTGACAGCAGCTGCAGCCCTCGAAGCGGAAGTCCTCTAAGTTGCATGTCCTCATTACGTGTGTCTTTTCACAGAATCTCAAGGTGCTATTGACGCAATGCAAGTAAATATAGCCTTTGCCACCTTGGACAGAAGATGATGGGCCGTGCAGCGAAGAATGAAGCGGTTGGTAGTTGTTTTCATGAAGAGAGGACCCCATGCTTTTTGCTCTTATTCCTTGTTCGAGCCACACTACAGTACTAATGTGTATTTGTGTGTTTGTCCACAGCTGGTTGAGCTCCAGCCTGAGGCAACACGAGTGACCTCGACGAGGCACGAAGCTCAAAGGGTGAACGCAGGTATATAACCAGATAAGGCTTAGGTCTTGACAACAATTTAACTATTCGGTCATTTGTGCATGTCAAACGCACTGTGAGGCCAGACCAGAAAGGCTGCGGGTGAACTCTTACGCGGGAGACCCAAAGGAGCCAATGTTGAAAGAAACAGCAAGATTCCTGCTCAATAATGATGCATGAGCCCCTAGTTGGGCTCAGCCAACCTGGTAAGGCTTTCAGCCGGGGTCGCTCAGCTCAGCAAAGCGTTCCTTCACGCCCTGCAACTTGGTTGCAAATCGAAACGGGCTGAGGGAGACGTCACCAACTGGAGTTGGCGACCACCCCGCCTTTGTGCACTCGTTGCAGCACGAGGTCAATGTTCAGGATCGAGCCCACTCAGTTCCTCTTGCAGAGAGAGACCATCGGGCCGCTCGATGCAAGAAGAGTTGCGGTACCAAGATTCTAATGCCTGCAGTCAGGCCCGAGTCATCTACGACCAGGTGAGTTCTTGCAATGCTGAGGCCCAAAGGGAGGATTGTGCGTATCTATGTTGTCAGATTGTTGGCAGTGGAAGGGTCATGCAGGAAAGAGTAAGGCTGTTTTCCAAATAAGAATGCTCAAGGTCCATTCACCGAGCCGCCCGCATGCGCCAGATTCCGAGGAGATCCTTGGTTAATTTGCGGTTAAAACAATTTGTCGCTTAGCGGCGATCAGCCGAATCAGCCGTTGACTAGCGTGAAGACTGGCATTATGTCGGGCACGCCAGCCATAGATACAAGGAGCCAAAATAGTTTTATAAAGCAAAAACAAAGCAAAAAAAAAGCAAAAGGCAAAGCAAACAAAAAAGCAAAAAAATGTAGCTGTGCGTATTTGTCGCTTTTTTTCACTTTTTTTTTGCTTTATTTTCGCATTTTTTTCGCTTTATTTTCGCTTTTTTTTCGCTTTTTTTCGTTTTTTTTTTTTTTTCGATTTTTTCGCTTTTTTCCTAGGAGGGTACAGCAAAAACATATTTGTCGCTTTTTTTCACTTTTTTTTCGCTTTATTTTCGCTTTTTGTTCGCTTTTTTTTCGCTTTTTTTTCGCTTTTTGTTTTGCTTTGTTTTTGCTTTTTGCATTGTTTTTGCTTTGTTTTTGCATTTTCATTTGCTTTTATTTTGCTTTTTTCACTTTTTTTTCACAAAAAAAATTATTTGATGGTTGGCCATGTATGGCTGCCATCGCCCAACATAAGACTGGCAGGAGCTACGGCATACAGTTTCCGACCGGCAACTTTCTCGCTATCTCTCTGCACCAGAGTTTCTTGGCTTGAAGGAGTGCTGAGAGCGCAGGAGCGATTGCGGTTTCTATGATGTGCACGTGTAAGAATGTGTATGTTTGTAGTGTATATATATAATATACACATACAGATATTATATACATAACTATACATACACAATGTAGCATTATACAAAAGCATTGCAAGTCGTTATAAGGACATGCCCTGAGAAAAGAGGGGTGGATCCCAGGTTGCCATCTCCTTGGCAAGTTGCAGAGGACAATGTCTCGGGATGTGGGCATTGGCTTGGCTCGACGTTGAATCTTTAAGTAACAATTTGCGAGAGGCTTCCTTCCAAACAAGCGACTCGAAGAATGCATTTGGATCCTGGGTTTTGATCGAGAATCTACTACTGAGTAGGTGGAGGCCGTCGCTATTAGGTTGGAGGCCATTACTACTAGGAACAAGAAGCTACTAGTAGCTTTGTAATTTCCGGGAACAATATGGAACGGATGCCGCAGGAGTTGGGCCAGGCTGGTGGCATGGCGGCTCCGAGATATTTGCTGGTCCGCCTTGGCCACTGGGCGTTTGAAAGAGGTAACATGCGTTGAACCCGAAGGCCCTAAGGATCATGGTACCAGTCATGGGCAAGTGAGATCGACTCCTTTCAACTGTTTCTGAGTGCATGATCCTGGCCAAAAGCATTTGACTGAACTTGTTGAGGGGCCAGGATTCCAGAACCATCCTTGCTGGACATGGGAAAGCTTTGCCGCTTCCCAGGAGAGTGTATCCCCGCAGAGACAGGTGCAGCCACAGTTCCTCGTTCCAGGCTGCTGTGCCTGCTTCTGGCTGTAAAGCATTTCCAATTATATATATATAAGTTTTACGCAGGTGGAGACAATTTGTTGTCACACTTCTCGCCAGATTGGATTGTGGACCACAGTGGCGGGACTTTCTGAACTTTGCAGAGTACGCCAATCCAGAGGGGGTCTCTTTGCAGGAGTGGACTCCGCTAGAGACTGCCAATCATGTAATTGGGACACGGCAATCACATTCCTTGAAGCCAAATGTGCCAGTGCTAGTGCAGCAACCATGAGTCATACGAGGATTATTAAGAGCTTTCATGGTGACTACACAACGTTAATGTATTGAAGATCTCCACACACACACACACACATGCACACGCATACTGTCAGAAGGGCTCGCACGCTTTGAAGCAGGAGGTGTTGACGTGCCCCTGTTGTTTGAGCATTTTCCGGCAGCCTATCGGTCTACCCTGTGGCCATAGTCTTTGCCGCAGGGGCGCCAAGAGTTTTGGTGTTTTAGCAGCGGGTTCCAAGCTGCCTTTGAGGAGGTTGCTATGTGCGGGTCTTCTCGCAGTCGACAAACTCCCGAAAATGCCCTTTGTGCCGAACGGAGCTGGGAGGGTTCCACAGCTTTGAGTCTAAAAGTTTGAGTCAAGTCAGCGGGTGACTTTGCGTTTTGCACTTGGTTGGAGGACCTGCCTCGTTGCGACCTGCGGGTGAATGTGGCAATGGCCGCAGTCTCTGATGCTTTGCGATCCTTCCTGGCAGTGCAAAGGTCAGCTTGGCTTTGTTGGCAGATGGGCCTGGATGTCACTCAGAGCCCAGATAATACAATATATATATATATATCAATATATATATATATATATGATGGTAGCCCTTGCTCCGCGCACCGCGCGGACCTGTTTTCCTCTTGGGCGTAAAAGTCCCTGCACGGTCGACCAAATCAACACTCCATCTACTTTCTAAATTGGCGAGGAATCGAACTGCCGGGCAACATTGAACCGCTGGACATGCTCTGGCCGCAAGCATTCAAGTAATCCACCAGATCTTTCAACCCTGGTGACCCTGTCTTATAATGGCTCATGCAGTAGGATCGGTAGCTGGCGAGATCAGGATCGTTGGGATCACGCATTTCCTCATAGGTCTTCACACCCTTGTACTTGCCAAAGGCCACTAAAGAGGATCCCCACTGGCTGATCGACGTCACACCGGGCGGCAGATTGCCTTGGGGATACGGAGACTGGGCCTGCTCCGACGACACCGGCATCGGAATGGGCATGGTCGCTCCCACCGATGAAGCAACATATGAGGCCATCTCTGGGCCTGTGGACTTCTTTTCTTCACGAAGACGCTTGCAAGCATCGGTCATAGTTCCAGAAGGGGAACCCTCCCACTTGAGGTCAAGTGAGATATCTTCGACATCTTGCACACGCTTCGTCAGGGCATCCCATGCACCACATTTCCTGGCTTTGAGAACCAGGCGGAAACACTCGTCAGCTTCGGCTGGAGTGAAAACACCCTTAGAGTTCATGACCATGGTCACTCGCACACGAACGGAAATCAAGCTCGACTTGTTCCACTCTCTTGGAGAAAGCTTGAACCATGTAACAAACACGGAGGTTGTTTGGATATTATTCTGCTCGGCAGGGTTAGGTTCTACTTAAAAAAACAAAACGCATGCATCATGAATTTGCTCTCTGCAGAAACAAGCACGACAAACAAACAAAAAGGATAGGCGGCAGCTTCACTATGGTTTGGTATTCATCAACCCTTAAGTGCATCACTCAAAATAACTCGTTATTATCCCTTGAGACTATATGCACTCATGAATACGACGCAGTGCTATTCATGCGCTGCGCTATCATGTGACTTGGTCTTCTGCACGTACTGTTTCCTGCGATCACGTTCCTGGGCTCTGCGCTCAAGTACCAAGGCCTCCGGGCTAATTTGGTAACGAGCGGTCCTTAGGCACGCTCTGACAAGATCGAATGCCTCAGGACTCTCCTTGGTGAGAGAGTCAGCCAACATCCTATCCATTGGTATCCACCGGATATGAGCTCTCATACGACTAATGCTATCCCTAAGGATGACGATATCGATCGAAGTTCGACGGTCTTCGAGCGTCGGAGAGGATTGAGCAATTAGATGGTCGTATAAAGACTTGCAATCGGTTACTAGCAACACCAAACGGTTTCCAAGGCCAGTCCATAGGCTCTGAGACAGTCGAGGTCCATCCAGGGCCTCTGACAAAATCAAACTTGTCCATTCAAGCATGCTCGAGGCAACTGACATGCTTTGAGCCTCAGCACTAAGTGTGGAGCTCACCACTCGAGGAAGGCGGAAGCTTTTCCAGTAGGCGGGTGTCCAAGAACAGTCGATTCCCTTGTTTACATCTTGGTGAACGAAACTCACCATGAAACCCGCTTGAGTGGCCCCCGCCCTGGCGTTGGCAAACGCTGCATCGGAATGACGCATCAAACCTAACTCACCCGGGGGCATTGAACAGTAATTGATCTTCTGATCTGCATGTTGTCGCGCCCTACGAACAGCATGATTTGCAGCAATTGCATCTCCTATTGTGGGCTTTGGAAACGATTGTTGGGAGAACGATACTTGTGTTCCAAGATCAGGTCGGGACTGGTTTGCTAGCCAGTTAAGGCTTCCATTCACAGCCCTCAAACAGCTAATCTCCTTGTCATCAAGGGGGGCATCCCTATCCCTACATCGCTCCCTACTCATATGGATGGGTCGGATTTTATGAGCAAACTTTTCTTGACTCATAGTGATCTCGAAGGTTTCCATGTTTTGCTCATACTGGGCACCGCAAAAATCCCCCGATCCTTGCCGCCACTTGCGGAATTCGAAAACCTTCTGCAAATCGGAAATGGCGTTGGTGTAGGCTGTTCGGCTGTTCCACAACCCCCTGTGACACAATCGTCAACGTGCACTCCATAGACCCCTTTTAGCTGTCCATGTTCTCTAAAATAGAACAAGCATGCATCAAATCGAGACCGTTCGAACCCAACACGGACAAGTTCTTGGTGCAGCTTCCGATACCATGCTGAGGGGGAGTCATTGAGACCGTACACATGACCTACTACCTCGATCAAGGCGTTCTCTGGCACGCCTGGTATTCCTCCCTTCGGAAGGCTAGCGTACAGAGGTCGATACCGCTTGGGGAGATCCCCTGCGGCCAGGAACGCACCCTTGATATCTCCCAAGGACATGTGCCAACGGTGGGAAGCCAACAGCTGAAACAGCATGTTCCTACCAACTTGGGACAAGGTGGGACTTTGAAGGTCTCCAGCACTGGCCTTTTCGCTCAAGTCGGGATCGAGGTGACCTTGGAGACACCACCTTGACTCTGGGAGGGGAATCATCCTCCTGCTTGATGGTAATGACATATCGGCTACCCATGATTCGATGTTGGAGGTGTTTCCTGACATCATCGGCTTCGGAGCCTAGAACTAACCGCGCAGCATGCTTCGAGAGGATGGTGTTCCACTCGAGCAATTTCGCTTCATCCACTCTGATTTGCAGTTCAAGGGGGTTCCCCGTGACGGGTATCTCTTTGGACGCTTTCTTCTTCATGTAGGGTGCTACCAAGACTTCATGTGATGCTCCGTTGTTGTACATGGTAACTAGGTCATTTATCTCTTCTAGTGTGAGGTTCTCAGCTCTCCTAACCAGTTTGGCCTGTGTGAGGTGTTCCACTGAACAGATGGTGATTTCATCCTTGGCAAAGGTTTCCCCTGCTGCTTGAACACAGAGCTGATCGTCTTCCCACCCTGTGGTCGGCTTCTTAGTCGAAGGCTGGGAGGACTCTGGTAGGTCCTCAGCTGAACGCTTGAGTCCATGCGGATCAGCAGGAGGCTCTGACGATGGCTCTGCTTTCGCCTGTTGGGGAGAATCCTCGATGATGCGGTTCACTAATTCAGGGACGATTTCCTGCATCATTTCTTGGAAGTCTTCATCTGCCATACGTCCAGGTCGATACAAAGCCATCGGGCCGTCTTTCTGGAGAATCCTACGACGAGGTCTGACGGGACCATAGCCTGTTTCCGGATCTACTGTGTCTGGATCTGGTCGAGTGGTCGACTGGTCAACAGGCTGTGGCAATTCTGCCTCGCGAAAATCAGTGGCTTTGTCCTGGACGGGTACCGGTGGTGAGAGGAGGTTAGCTTGCATATCGACATCTGACGATTTGGGCTGACCACCCGCTACCGTTTTGTCCAGCACAGACTGGGGGACTGAACCCCTGGCGGCTTCATCAGACCGAGTGTCCTCTGATGACTCTCCGGGATAGGCGTCAGGCACTAGATCGATATACTGTTTGCTTGACAGTTGACCCGATTCGATGAGATGTTTGATTCCCAAAAATTCCATATTTGGAGTCTCTACTAGTTTGATCTCATCCTGTGTCAACGAACGAACTTGTTCCGGGGCACACCGGAAAAATCTGTCTCTTATGGATGATCACCAAATTGCGTCCGACATACCCTAACACTACAGCAGGACCACACCATCGACCACTTTTCTCCAGAGACCCATGAACCCATTTTTGTGACCTCCAAAAGGCTATGTAGGGACCTGGCGCATACGTTGTGGTCACTCGAGGTCTAGCTGCCAGGGCCAAACGAAGGGCCTTGCTGTCTTGCAGATCGAGGACGGCTTTGCGAGCTGCAGCTCGAATAGCCACTTGTTTGGCTACTGCTTCTTCATAGAGAGCTGCAGAGGCAGGGACTATGTCCAACGGCTCGTCCAACAAATTTTCAGGCACTCTCGGATCTTTTCCAAACACAAAGAATTGGGAAGGTGTCATACCATATACCTGAATCAGTTGGTTCTTGCAATGAGCAGCATGGACGCAATCCAACCATTCTTCTTGAGTACGGGGTTCATGCTCAGTCAACACTTGGTCGAACACCCTGCTAAACCAACCACCATGAACCTCGACCTTGCCCAGTTGCCAGTGGGCATCTGCCGCCGTCAGCTTAAATGAGGCGCCGCCCTGTTCAAGGACAAGTGAAAAGGCATCAGCGATGTTTGCCCTGTGCGAATCACAAATCACTTCCTGGGGCGTACCAGCCCATGAAACCCACCGTTCCATGAACACTTGACGCGTGACCTGAGCTGTCTCTTTCCGGAATATCGGCACCGCCATCTGAAGCGAACTGGCAAAGTCCATTATATTAATAGCTGGAATTCGCTGATTGGGCTGCCATCCCTTGAGATACTTCACATCCACCCCTACAACAGCATTGAACTCAGTCACCCTTGTGGTTTGAGCAGGAAGGGCTACCTTGGGGTTCTTTTGGGCTTCGCATTGATCGCACTGGAATCGACGGGCAGCATCAATGGCAGCTGCTGAAGCTCCTCCATGCTTGAGGACTCTTAGCAACACGGCTTGAGAAGGATGGCCTAAGTTGTTATGCAACTTACGGAGGCTTGATCCGATCTTATCTTCTGGCTCTTGGTTCAGTTCCTCAAGCGAATGAGCGACGAGACACTCGATGTTCCGGTCATCCATCACTATGAGACACTCAGCTTCCGGGAGTCCTTTGACAGTGCGAAGAACAGCTTTCACAAAGGCTGGAGTGTACTTACATGCACAAGTACTGATCGCTCCTACCTGAGGGTGACTGCCGGCCACTACTTGATGTCTGGAGTGATCTCCATGGGACGACCCGGGGCATCGATTGGCAATTCCCTTCATGTGAGACCAACAAATTTGTGGTCTTCCGGATCAGGTCGCCGCCTGGGATTCGAAGGCCATACTGACACATATCGACGACGATCATGTGCATGAACTTGGTCAGTTTCACCATGCTGGGGTGATGCCATGCTACAGAATCTTTGGGGTGTTCGAACAAACATTGTCCACCATACGAAAACTGCAGTTCCATGAGTTCGCAACAAAACTGAATGAACACCCTGGTCCAAAATTGCCGTTGAGCGACCTCCTTATCAGTCATGTGTAGGCGGTTGAGATGCCACCATCCGCCTGACGTGCATGGAGGGCAACACACTAACAACTTGGGTCGGCTTGTTCGAACATGCTCCTTGAGTGCATCACGATCGGCTCGGCGGCGGAAATCCCAACCTGTGCATAAGTCGGCCGACAACACAGACCATCCGACCTTTGCACCTTCAAGCGCAAAACGAGGCGGAGAAAACACTTCTATGATATCAAAGGATGAACCCCTGACAGGACCAGGAGCCTGCAGCTGAGCCATGAGCGGCCGATGTTGTTTGGCAGTCCAGTGCATGACACTCAGCTTTTCGTCCTGGGCCCCGACGGGGATCGGAACTGACGCGTCGGGTCGGAGTTGGAAGATGGTGGTTCCGGTCCACGGCTTCGAATCATGTTTGCGATGGGCTCTCTCCGGATCGGTCCACAAATCTTCTGTTGTTCGGAGGACGGAGGCCGGGCTATCGACGGTAGTAGTTCGACTGGCCTGAAGAAGATGCACGTCGATTGGACACTGTGTGTTGTTTGGTGTGAACAAGGTTTCCCTGGGCTTACGATGGTGCCTAATCACAATGCGTTCTTGAGGCTTTTTACTCCCAATAGTCTTTCTGTTTTTGGGGATGACGATCATACGTCACCGAGAGGCATGCTGTCGGCTCCGGAGTGGCCTGCTCGTCATGGGCCAGCGGCGGAAACGACTTGGGAAATCGGACACCTTGATGGCATACTGTCCAGCTGCATTGACCTCCAGGGGCACCCGAACTCGATCAGGAAAAACTTGCAGGGTGTCACCTGAAAAATTAACTTGAGCCTGCAACTTCTTCAGGGCAGGCCGAGAAAGCAACAAGGGAGCTCTCCCTTTAACTACGGCAGCTGTCACATAGCCGGGGCGTCCGGCCAAGTAGACGGGCATGTCCACCACAGTTTCACTCATTTCTTGTTCACCATTCCCATAGCGGAAACTATTGCGTTCCGCCTTTTCTGGTCGGGGAGCAATACCATGTCTTTGCCAAATGTCCTTAAAGGAGTTCAGCGTGTCACGACCGATGATTGTTTTCCCGCAGCTGCTGTCCAGTACTGCAAAACCTGGACTGCTCACCAATAGCACTTCATGTTCCTCACAGCGAGCAGCAGTACATACGAAATGTTCAAGTGGCTCACAGACTTGGACAGTTCCAGCAGCATGGCTTGGAGCCTGGTGGGAAGCCGATGACGAAGAGCCCTGGCGACACTCTCGTTGCCAATGTCCCAGTTTTCCGCACTTACGGCATCGTGTCCGTTGCTTCAGCTCCTCCACCTGAACCCTGAAGGACCGTTTGAAGTCCTTGGACGCTCCAGCTCCCTTGCGGGCATCAGGCGCAGAAAAACGACGTCCTTTTTGCACCATGTTCAACTCAGCCCTCTTTTCTTTCCATGTCGCAGCTAAAATCTCAGCTGCCTCTTCCTCCTCGAAGCCCTCTGTGTCACCAGCTGAAAATGAAGGATCCTTTTCATGATGGCCATGTTCGGCCAAAAACAACTCCACATCACGAAACCCGTCATATGACGGCTCGTCCAGGGGTTCTGACACAGAAGGGGGGTCGTCCAAGGTCACAGCGGCAACGGCTCGCTTCTTGGGCACCACATAGTCCGGGAAGCAAGACCTCATCGATTGCGAGACCTGATCAAACTTCAAGTCCCCTTGAGCACGTGCCAGTACGACCGCACGTTGTTCAGCTTGAAGACCACTGCAATTCAGGAGTATCCATCCACGAGCTTCTTCAGGGAATTTTACTCCAGTCTTTCGAGCACAGCGGTCGAAGGTTTCACGGCTTCGAGCACGCCATTGGCGGACACTCTCGCCCTCTGTCGCCTTCAGGGCGAATACAGCAGCTATGGTTTCTCCTATCTCATCTGTCCGGTCCAATTCCGGCCAACGTTTGTCAAGGAGGTGGAAGATCACCTTGTCCCCGCCCTTGACCTGGTAGTCACTCTCCTTGAGGTGCTCGATAACCTCGAGTGCACGGCCAGAAAGAAGAGTCCAAACAAAAGATCCACGAGAATCTTCAGCCAGCTTGTCCATGGTCCGCATTTTGTTCACGACCCATTGTTTCCACCTCCTATACTCTCCCGTTGAAATAACGGAGAGAAGTGCCAGCCTCCATAGCAGCACGGTCGACGACCTAGGTATGCGTCCAGCGCACCGAATCCTACAGGAGTCAGGATTTTACCTGCCCCGCTACCAATGATGGTAGCCCTTGCTCCGCGCACCGCGCGGGCCTGTTTTCCTCTTGGGCGTAAAAGTCCCTGCACGGTTGACCAAATCAACATATATATACATATTTTATCATTTTTTGCTAGATCGAGGCTGCGCACCTAGAATACCGCAGGCCATCGATGATTGGTAAATGATTACGTGGTGCTGCTGACAGGAAACGGCCGTGTGTATACACACAGTCGTCGTACCATATATTTATTATATAGTGCAATAAGTAATTTGATGCTGACACTGCTATTTTTGGATGGATTTTGTTTGTCTCTTCCTTGTTTGTGAGGATATTGACTCTCAAACGGATACACCTGGACCTGGCCCTGCGGGTTTTAAGTCCTACAAAAGAATGAGAGCTGGCCAAAGATGGTATTCAACACGAACAGCTATATGCCAAAGCTTTGATTACACATCTAAACATTCATTTCAATGCTACCTGTGCTCATCATCTCTGTACAACCGCACCTCCTTTGACAGACAAAACATATGTTAGTCTAGACTTATCGCCTCTCTCATCAATGCCACGTGGATGAAACCTTTGCATTAGCAAATATACTGGCAGCAAGGACGCTACTAGGAGCAAAGGGCATCGCTACTAGGAGCAAGGACGCTACTAGGAGCAAAGGGCATCGCTACTAGGAGCAAGGACGCTACTAGGAGCAAAGGGCATCGCTACTAGGAGCAAGGACGCTACTAGGGGCAAAGGGCATCGCTACTAGGAGCAAAGTGGCACATCCATGGTTCCTTCAGACCTCCTGCGGTCAGGCCCAATCCACGAACCGCCTGAGTGCCGGGCGCCGGGTGGGCCGCTCAAAGGGCGGCTTGACAATCCTGAAGTGAAGTTGAAAAGCGTGAGGAACGACAGGGTGTGATAGAGTTGATGGAAAGGCTCTTGAGTGAATGGAAAGCGTGAACGTATATATATATATATATACATATAATAGCTTAAGACCTTGCATAAGGGCCATTTGAGGATGAACGTTTTGACGTTGAGGTAAGAGAGTCCATTAAACTCCTATATGTTGAATGTGGGTCTTTTGGACTTTGCGCGCCGAGTATTTGCGGCTTACGGCAGTCAAGGCCAAGGCAAGAACATCACTTTGCAAGCAGGGCCACATAAGTCATGAATGCTTGTGGGCATGGCAGGCCCTCCCCCAAAACACCACCCGAGCTTTTCTCAGTTGCTACCCAAGCAGACAAACCCGTGCAATGTGAGAAAAGCTCTATGCAGTTCAAATGCTTCGTCAGCGCTGATCATGCTTCTTTGTTTTATACAAAGGCCTGTGGGAGTCTTTGCTCCGGAAGCGTTTTTGTGGTAGAATCTTGTCTCAGTGCACTGTGGAAGATGCTTCTTAGGCGCCGCTTGGGGCGAACGTTGCTTTTTTGTCCGATCCTTTTTGTCGTGTTCTTGGTGCTTGGCGCGTGGAGATCTATTTTGTTTGCTTTAGGTGCATGCTTCACAGCGGCGAGATCTGAAGAGGCGGACAGCGATCGAAGATCAGTATTTCGTCTCAGTATCTCATTGGTATTGTTGGATTTGTATGAGTATTTTGCCTGCGTCTTATTAACGAAAGCCAGCCCATAGGCTAGGCTGGAGTTGTCGATGTATTGGGGGATGTGGGGGGGTGGTTACTTAGGGGTATAATTTGGGTTGGGCGAACCGAGAGCCTGGGGGAGCGAAAAAAAGAGGCGGTCCGAAAAGCAGTGAACATGTATGGTGTGGTTTTTGGGATGTTTTGATGCAAGTGATGTACGCCGAGGAGTGCATCATCAGCATCATGAGGGGCTCAGGGGCTACTTAAACAGTCTTTCGACAGGGGGTGGGACCGGGTGCCGGTGCTCGTGCTGGTGCCGGTGCCGTTGCTGGTGCTGGTGCTGGTGCTGTGAGCTGGCTGTGCACGTGGTGGAGAGACAGGTTGGTGGAGACAGGTTGCTGGTGCTGGTGCTGCCGGGTGCCGGTGCTGGTGCTGGGTGCCGGGTGGCTGGTGCTATGAGCTAGCTGTGCGTGTGGTGGAGACAGGTTGCTGGTGCGGGCGCCGGTGCTGGCGCTGGTTCTGGGTGCTGGTGCGGGCTGTGGTGCTGGTGCTGGGTGCTGTGAGCTGGCTGCGCGCGTGGTGGAGACACGGTGCCGGTGCTGGGCGCTGGCAGTGCGCATGGTAGAGACAGCGGGCGCCGGTGCCGGTGCTGTGAGCTGGCAGTGTGCGTGGTGGTGACTGGGCGCCGGTGCTGGGTGGTGGCTGTGCGCGTGGTGCAGACAGGGTGCCGGGTGCTGGTGCTTGGCGCTATACCGGTGCTGGGTGCTGGTGCTGGGCGCCGTAAGCTGGCGCGCCGGTGCTCGGTGCTGGTGCCCGCTTCTGACAGTGAAGCGATAACAACCGCCGCTTCTGACAGTGAAGGGTAACAAACCGCCGCTTGCAGCAGTGAAGGGTGACCAAGCGCCGCTTCTGACAATGAAGTGCAAGCAGTCATGGGCCGCATGAACTTATGCACGCAACATCATACGGTGTTGTCGCTTGAGCGTTCTTTGTCTATTAGCGCTGTGGGGTTCTGTTTTGGCCGACAGCTGTGTCTGTTTGCGCGCATACTTTTGTACGTATAATGTTCTGTGCGTCAGGCTCTCAACCGACCATTGTACCAGCGTGTTTCAGCATGCTACACACACAATAGTCGTGCTGGATACTGCTTGGCCTTGGGCGAGTGAAGCCTACGGGCTTTGCCGATTGCGCGCATGCTTTTGTGCGCGTACACTCAAACGCACAAGATCATACGGCCTTATCGTTCTGCAGGTCGTTGCTTCAAGCATGCTACAAAGTCAATAGTGGCGCTGGATACTGCCTGGCCTTGGGCCAATGACACTTACGGGCTTTGCTGTTAGCGCGCGTACTTTTGTGCGCATAAACTTATACGCGCAAGATCATACGTTGTTATTCCCCAAGTAGGGATAGCTATGGGGTTCTTGCTGCAAATAAGAATGAGCTGGCTGCGCGCGCTTTCAAAAGGGTGTCGGTGCTGGTGCTGGTGTTGTGGTCCTGGGTGCTGGTGCTGTGAGCTGGCTGAGCGCGCGTTTAAGACGGGCGGTGGCGCTGGTCGGGTGCTGGTGTCAGCTGACTGCGCGAGGTGTCGTAAGCTGGCTGCGCAGGCTGCGTACATTCTTGTTCCAGCCAGTCGCATGTCAACAGCTCGTGGGATTCTGCCTAGCTATCTGGGTCTATGCTGGTGTAATTTTACGAAAAACCCTTCGCAGACGCTCTCGGAAAAAAAAGAGCGAGGGGTGAAGACGTGAGATGTGCAGATGTGAAGATGTAGATGTAGATGTACAGATGTGAAGATGTGAAGATGAGCAGAGCTGTACATATGCAGATGTGAAGATGAGCAGAG